CCCATTTATTAGCATTTGGTATGCCTGAGTCTCAATTGGGGGTATCACAGCGTCCAAACAGGATCTATATGCAACATTCTCCCGGTGGAGAGGTTTTTTGACCTTTCTTCGGTCTACAGATCACGCGACGACGTAGGAAGCATTCGGACCCCCGAAGCACCGGTAGACCATGTTTCAAATGTGTCTTTCGACTTGTCAGGGTGGTGTTCTAGAATTGCATTGCGAACATGTGTCCAAATTCTCTACTTGGCTAGATCAGACAAGAATCACCTCTCGCTGTGACAGTTGGCTGGGAAAGTTATCCCCTTCATACATGACTTGTCCTGAACTCGGAAAGAAAAGAAAGCAAGGGCGATTTATTTCGCAATCGCTATCAGACTTTGAACAGGAGGTATATCGAAATGAATCTCTTCAGCACATGCCCAGATCAGGTACCACGCGTCATCTCTATATGCCTTTTCAACAAATTCCCATGTGCCCGCCTAGCTCAATCGGCCAGAGCGTCAGACTTTTACGGATGTTATATCCTTAAGTCATCTGAAGGCTGCGAGTTCGACCCTCGCGGTGGGCTTGAGGTTTCTATTGTAATCCATATATTTTTGGATTTCTGTACGGTTCACGTGATTTAACCTGAATTCATTCGGGGCCCTTCAGGAGGGCTGCTTCAGCCGGTCTCATGCCTGGTAAATGCATTCCCCGATACACCGCCGATGCACGGCTGACGAGTACAATATGGTGGGAAGTGGGAAGGTGTGTAAGTACTATGATAGTCTTTGTCCAATCCTGGGTGGTAGTCACCAGACGAAGTTTCCATCCGACAGAACGGTTCTTATCTGGAGAGGTCGTCGAAGTGGATCCGAAAGTACTCGTGCCAGTCGACACACTCTGCCTGGATTTGACGAAGGGATCGATCATTCAATCCCCCCACTGATACTGATTGATCAACTATGTTCGCCTCCACAAGTCTCACTTCCCTTCTTCTAAATTTTGTCGCGAGTGAATGATTCTTCAACATCTTGGTTTATTGACACTTGGTGCTCACAGCCGTATAGATCTATCTACTCAATTACTGGGTTTGCTTCCTCCTGAAGTGTATCTTCATCTAGTCCTTTACTCCAGTCCATGAAAGAATGAATCGACGAAATGGTGACCTTTGAACCAACCTATGTCTGATAGGTCCTATTCAAAATCAATTTTCACGTACACCTGTGGTGTGACTCTTCAATTGATGCTATTCATCATCTGGTCATCTATTCGTCAAACATTTGATTTCGACCCTGAGTTTCGTGTGTACCACCCTGGCTTGTGCATTTGCTGTGAAAACGCTTCATTCTATGAGATAAATCTGTGATTCTGAGTTGTTGCTAGGACGAAATAGGGTTAGTGAAATTAGTTAAAGCACACAATTTACAATTTTCATCGACGACGCTCGGAGAACAAAAAACCCTGCTTTTCTTGATGGTATGGAATCAACCAAGTCTATGTTTCTCTTCTCGTGCCAGTGGTCTGGCTCGTAAGTCCAAAATGGAACTAACTATCACTAGTCTCCGTTCATGAAACATATAATAAATATCTTCATACTGATTGTGGAGAGCTCGGTAAACGAGTATAAAAGATGATCCGTGTGGGACAGGATGAAGAGATGTGTAATAGCCCACCCATCAACTTGTCAGACATTCTTCATTATGAGCGAGTTCTCGAATAAGAGTGAAAGAAACTTTCGTTACGGTAGAAAAAACAATTAAAGATTCACGCTAATAGCCCACCGCGAGGGTCGAACTCGCAGCCTTCAGATACACCCTGCCTAAGAGTCTGACGCTCTATCCGATTGAGCTAGGCGGGCAGATGGGAATCCTCCAGATATGCGTGGACTCATCTCTTTCTGGTGTAAATCTCAGCCGCGACTGAACCACGTATCAGTAATCGTTATGGTGTGGCACACGCGAGAACGAATCAGACCAGACCCTGCATATGAATGAATGAGTGACCCGTGGATAGATTAACATTATATCTGGTTCGCGACTGAATTGCTCGTTTGCCGTCTGGTGGAAAATAGATGACAGAAGGAGAAGTGAGGTTCCGAATCCTCGTGACGGGAGAGGAAACCAAAATGTGAGAAGTGAAGATACTTACGACAGCGCACATGAAGTTGTCGATTTTTCTGTAAAGCACTAGTCGTAGATCGTGGAGCTGTGACAGCGGCGTAAACTTACAGCAATAGGTACTAAGCGAAGCTTTATTTCGCGTTATCGCCAAATGACCCTCGAGTAACGGAGACCGGTGCGAGAGACGTATCAAAAGCGAATTGGATTGATAGCAGGATACTGCCTCCCGCAATCTGGCAGAAGTGAAAACCGGTACATCATGTGTTACATACGGCTGCCCCGAAGACTCTTGGAATGCTTCTCTCGAAGGCCACGAGATTTGGAATTCCAGAATGCTTCGACAGCGTTCGGACCGAGATTACAACGTGAAGTTTTGAAGCCCACATCCAATTATTTATGGTGCAACGATGAGAGGAATAGATGCAAAGCCGGCGGTCTGCGTGATTGTTGGTGGAGTGGATGGTCGATGAAGAGAATTGCTGTTGGGCGTTGTTGACATTGTCGGTGTTGTCTGAATCTAGCTCTGCGGGTATATTAGCACTTTTCAGACTGTTGTTCTAAGTATCTTCAAGGTTTCCATGATTTGACTGCATCTCTTTGAGGATGACTACTTCCAGGGCAGAGTCACAACTTCCCCGTCGGAATCGTTCTAATACTGCCCAGTCTATCTTACGACCAACCCCCGTTGCTCCTCTGAAGTTTGGAGACTCAAAGGTGCTTAATACATGGGTGCATGACCCTAAGGACGACCCCAAAGTTATTTTCAATCAGTCATGGTGGCCAGGCGTGTCAGAAGGAGACTTGTTACGCGTAATGGGCTCTAACATGAAGAATCCAGAAACCGCGTTTTTCTTGTGTGTACCCAAGGACGATGGGTGTGTAAAGCCTCAATTGCAGGTGAGTTAACCATTTTTGTGTTTAGTGAAAGGCAAGGACATGACGCGTCCAAGATCTCTATACCAAAGCCCATTGCGGATACCTTTGGGCTGCGTAACAATTCCGAAGTTACTTTAATCAAGGTAAAAGTGTTTAGCTGTCATCCTCATGGTATCCATGGTGTCTCAAAGCTTTTACGAAGGTCGATAAACAAGACTGTGGTGCCGAATACGTCGAATTGGTCTTCCAGGATCAATATCTTGGACGGAATGATATGTGGAGACTAGGAAAAGACCTTGTTGGCCAGTGCATCTATACTGACCAGCACATCACCTTTGTGGGCAGCATCGCAGCTAAAATACAGAACATCTACGTTGGTGGAAAACCCGTGAGCCTATATTTCTCGAATTCATCTAGATTGCTGATGAGTTAATTGATAGGTGTCATCGGCATGCGTAACTTCTGCCACGAAGGCTATCTACAAGTCTCTCTCTGCAAAAATGACGATTTTCATCCAAGTCTGCCGTGAGCTATGGGAATTCGCTGGTGATGGAGAGCGTTACTACGAAAAGGTCGTTCATTCTTTCCTCCCTGCTCTCTTCCAAAAATGGCGCGAAGCAGGAACAAACCATACTGTCACCATCGTCCTTATTTCACGCGTCTTTTACGAGGAATCTGAAATCGATTATGCAGCGGGTCCCCTGCGCCGGGATGATGACGGAAAATGGTATAAGGATTTCTTCAAAGTCATCACCGATCTCGAGGTGATAAATGAATGGAAGCCTACACTCGTGAGCCTTAAGGACTCGTTTTGGGACTTTCAGCGGGACATCCTCCTCACGCACCATTACCACCAGTCAACGCTGGACGCCTCGACAATTGGTCCACCCGCGCAAGTGCGTTTGATTGGGCGCATCTCATACGCCCATGACGGACCTGTGCTTGAGGCGATCAACCTCGCACTAAATCCAACCGAAACGCATTACATCGACCGCTCGCTGTCACTCACTGGGACAATGACGATCATCATCACGCCTGGCTCTGGATACTTTAAGGTGTCTAAGGACCTCCTCCGGCTGACTACCACGCGCATACTCGACCAGGGGTTTGTGATCCAATTCGTGTCGCTCACGAAGCCGCCTTTACACCAGAGTCCTGTCTTCAGTTTCCGCAGCACTGAGCCAAAACAGGAACTTCTGCTTGATGGGAAGAGTGTTGCCCAGGCGTTGGATCCCCTTTGGGGCACCGTGGAGAATGAGGGAGAGATGAAGACATTCTGGTGGGAGCCCTTTTGGGTGTCTATCACATTTTGGGACAAGCAATTAGATTTGCCCTTCAGAGGTGACAGGTAAGGGTCATCCTCCATTAGATCAGGATATTGATTCAAGAAACGTTCAGATTCATAGAATGCGCTCGGATGGGACAGATTCAGATGCTCGGTCTGCTCGAACTCGATGTGCTTTCAAGCATAGAAATCCCTTTTTTGCCCGAGAACAGCAACGAAACGTCTTTGTCTACTCCACCTCAGGGAGCTGTAGAGGACAACTTTCCATCGCAGGCAGAAGCCGACAAGTTCGATATGGACATCTTTGCTCTACGGCCAGAATCGAAGGTCGTCACTATAACTCGAGATTCGATAGCTTCCTCAACAAGTAATAGCTCAACTGGAATGACATACCGCCCTCCCGAGAAGCGCCCTCTACAGAGAAATTCTACGACTGGAAAAATAGATCCGATTGAAGAAAGCCCGAAGCGAGTTTTCGCCACCCTTCCAGCTGAAGACTCCTCAGGAAAGTTGAAGTCTGGAACGTCTACTTTCAGCGGAATTAGTAAATCTCCTTCTCAGTCCTCCATCCTGTCGCTGCGTTCAAACCTCTCCGCGTCGTCTTCAAAGACACGTTTATCACAAATTGCGGCTCCCAAAGCCACTCTGGCATCCAAACTTGCCCCCTCATGGCTCTTCAACCCTTTTCGAAGCCAGCCCAGTGAACCGCAGACCTCACCTATCTCAGCCTCTGCTTCATCAACGACTTATGATACCGCTCAAGAGAAGGAGAAGGACAAGTCAACACCAAAACCCACTTTGGGTTCAGTACATTCGTCCCCAATCCGTATGCCCCTTTCCCAGCCTTCAACGTCACAAGTTAGCCTGAGCCATTCCCCTCTCGCCAACTCTCCCATGCCCGTTGCCATTCGAAAGTCTGCTGCTTCCACCCGTCCGAGCACAGGACGCACCTTTGAAGATGACATGCTCCTCCCCCAACGCATCGCCTTTCCCCGTCGTTCCCCTGTCGGCACTCCTCCACGCGACGAAGCGATCTTTGTCAAACGCCGCAGCGCCGCCTCTATCCATTCCCCCTCCTTCGGAGGTCCTGGCACCTCATCTTCCCCTGGGGTGATAGGCAATCCCTCACAACCACAATCTTCCATTCCGCACTCGCAATCGAGTCTCGCGAGGCGTTGGCAGCACATGTTCCCGCAAGTCCTTACAAAATACGAAATCAAGTGGAAACCCATAGCGGTCCCGATGTGTCTCCCACTTACCGTTGAGTACCTGCCCACTAACGCGGAGCTCGAATCATTGTACGAC